CCCGCCCGGTTTTCTACGCTGTACTACCGAGCCGTCGCGAAACGGCGCTACCGGTACCCCGAGGTTTTTTTCATGAGGGGGACCTGTGGTTTAAGGTGCGTGTCAACCGACACTTGAGTGTTGAACTCGACCCTCGAAACCATCGAGGGCCGCGTGATTATGGGTACCACGTAGTACGTCATCATTGCGATTGCTTGCTGATGCTTCCAAGGCTTGTCAATATCAGAAAGCCTTGCATCCGCGTGATTTTGAATTAAGTCATGCGCGCAATGCCTAACCAATTTCCGTATCGAAAGGCTATGGGTTGGATACTAAAAGGACTATGAGTGTTTTGTTTTGTGTAAGTGATCTGACTTTTTTGTTTTGGCATGATGTAACGCGTGGTAAGAAGGATATGTCCTAGTCGACCGATGTTGAGTCCCACCTGGCACTTCGGCCCCCCAGTGCGTCGGTGAATACGGAAAAAAGTCTTATGCCTATTCAAATTCACACAAAAATTCTCAAAGTTTCCAACGAATGACTGGATTATTGACAGAAGTCACATAACCTCGTTAGAACAAAAAGGTATTGCTCAACCTTGGTGCAAGTTTTGTAGATCGGCCTTCCCATCCAAGCTCATACCTAAAACAATTTAGCACATTTTTCTCCAATGCCCAAGGTCGGTCTGGCTTTGGCGGTGGTGGGATAGGATTTGGAATCAATTGGGAACCGAAGTCCCAGGCGCGACTCAACATTGGTCGACTAGGACATATCCTTCTTACCACGCGTTACATCATGCCAAAATAAAATAGTCAGATCACTTACACAAAACAAAACACTCATAGTCCCTTTAGTATCCAACCCATAGCCTTTCGATACAGAAATCGGTTAGGCATCGCGCGCATGACTTAATTCAAAACCGCGCGAATGCAAGGCTTTCTGATATTGACTAGCCTTGCAAGCATCAACAAGCAATCGCAATGATGACGTACTACGTGGTACCCATATTCACGCGGTCCTCGATGGTCTCGAGGGTCGAGTTCGACACTCAAGTGTCGGCTGACACGCACCTTAAGGGGTTAATCTCTCGACGCTACACAACCGCCAAGGCGGTTGAGAAGCACACCCTCTTCTCTACCCTGTGGAGAGTAGGTGGTACACAAGTTCCGACATGTAGTGGCAGTCAACCCTTATGGTCATGGAGACAAGCTCCATTATCCAAGGTTTGGAGAGAAGTCAAGGGGTTTGACTTTGATGGCTGCTACGGATGTCAATGGGGAGCATGAACGAGTTTGGAGCCGCCCTTTCAGGATCGATGATGTTCTGGATGAACAGGTCATCTCGTCAACTTTTGCCGCCTCTTAGTGTTGCGCAAATGGCATGGCAAGCGTCGTAGCGTAAGCTGGCTGGCCATTCGAATAGGAAAGGAGGTGAAGACCGCCAGCGGACCTGATGTTGACTGTCGGCAGGAAAATTGGTTGCCCCTTTTACGGGGTCGAGTCCTGGATTACGACTCCCTCCGCATCATCCTTCCAGTTTCCACCTGAAACTCGTCTCTGAGCAATTCTTTCCAACTGTCCAGGGTGCTGCAGGTTCTCGTCCCTCGGGTGGGACAATGCTTTTTTTTTTTTTTTTTTTAACACGTCCCCGTCAGTGTTAGTGGTGCTGATAAGAGCAGACACCGCTAACACCTGGGGGGGGAGCTCCATCTATTGGTGGTTTAACAGGCGTTTCAGATCTCTTTCCTCCATCCAATTCCTTTTTCCTTCAACCCAAATGTCCCTCACTCTCCAGGTTCCATTCCATGTTTGACCTAAGAGAGCCATCTATCACCTCTGTAGGAGAGTATCCACAGGCGATTGTCTTAGTCCCTGACCCACAAGTTTCCTAAGAGGGGTTGCCTGACCACCTCCTCAACCCCTCTTTCGATCTGGGTTATTGCATCTTCTTGGGCATCATTTCTCTCCAAATTTGAAGTAGGGTAGCCCAGTAAAGGGAGAGGGGGGGGGAGGGGGAGTACAGACTTGATTTGGGGAGGGCCCCCCTCCCTTGTCTTCTCCTGCTTGTTCATGACCCAGCACAGGCCCGACATGTTGGTGGGGCATTTTGTTGGAGTTAGGTTCCTAATGCGGTCCTGCACCAATCCTTGTTCATGATGACCCAGAACAGGCCTGATCTTTGCAGGCTTCTGACATTGTGGTCACTGGTTACTACCGTCTTCACCCGAATAGAAAGCCCGGTCATTATTGCTGGTATTTGGCACAACTTTCCGTCCAGATGCAGCGATAATGACCGGGCGTTCTATTCGGGTGAAGACGGTAGTTAGTATTAATTGATCTGAGAGTCTGAGATTGCTTTATGTGATTCTTCACTATTTCAGACCTTTTTTTTTAACAAGGGGGGGGGGGGGCGGGGAGGCACGGGGCCCCGGGGGGGCGGGGTTAAACAAGGCTCCAGTCTGTTTGTGGAGAGCAACATGTGCTGGCAGCCAGGGGCTATTTCAGATGTTAAAGACTAGTAAAGATTTGGCTTTCTTTTCCCTATGTTCAGGAGTAGCAGATGTCAGTTGATTTTGTCCGGATAGATCTTTTTCTGACTTACTCCTACAGCAGCATTTGGTCCGGCCCCATCCTGCTGCTTTCACAGAGATTGTTGAGACCTTCTGAAGCTGGGGCGTTCGCCCTCTTGGAGAGAAAGATACTGTTGCGGATCTCACCGGGGCTCGATCCCTGGATCTCATGCTGGGTAATGGACACTGTTTGTTGTATGTCTGTCCTACCATACCAGCACATTTTACATTTCTGTCCCTCGGCACCCTCTTGGTACCGACTTATTCCGGAGATGCCCCCTGGGATCCGCCTAGCTGTTGGGCGGTTCCCGGGCAGATGGTACTGGTCCCACACACTGGTGGGAGGATGGGGAGGATGAGGGGGCGGGCGGACACGCAGTTGGTTACAACGGATCCTCTCTCTCTCTCTCTCTCTCTCTCTCTCTCTCTCTCTCTCTCTCTCTCTCTCTCTCTCAGTCTCGGTGCTCATACAAACCAAGAAAGCGAAACACTCCGTACCTCGTTGTCAGAGAAAAAGAAGGAAAGCTGCCCTCGTCAGGTGCGGCCTGTGGCTAGATGATTTTCTTTCAGCAAGTAACCAGCTCTGAGGTCCCCCAGCGCAAATGTTCCGTTGGCCCGGCGGAAGGCATCTTCTGAGGACTGCTTCTTGCCTTACAAATTATTATTGTGTCTGGACGTAAATGTACAAGGTGATTCACCATGATTGGTTGAGAAACCTACCGAACTTGACTAACCCATCGAACTTTTTCATCATGATTGGTTGAGAAACCTACCAAACTTGACTAACCCATCGAACCTCCAGTACTCGAATAGGGTGCGCCTGTTCATGTGCGCCAGCCTTTCAGGGGTGTACAGGCCTCCCTTTACCCGGTTAAAGCACCCGTACATGGGCATCTGGGCTGCAGGGCCTGACGCCTCGAAATCTGGAAGCGCGAAACCAAAACGCAACTGCCGACCCAATTTATCAACAGCAGGACCATCCAGCGTTTGACGTTTCGGCCTCACTCGTTTTCTTGTGGCGACAAGCTTCGGACTGCAAGGCTGGGGGCCTGGGGCCATGTACTACGGCAGTGGTTTAAATTCAAATGCCTTCAGAGCCCTGCAGAGGATGAAGAAAGGGTCCCAAGTACTGATCGTCCCAAGCAAGGATGGAATCCCTGGTGACATGGCGAATAAGTCACCGGAGAGAGCCAGTGTAACTTCAAATCCTGAATGGTACACACATGCAGCTGCAGCTGGCTGTTAATAATAATTGTATAAACAGGTCAAGAGTTAAAAAAAAAAAAAAACTTGGAAACCTGATTCAAAAAAAAAACTTGACATTTAAAAAAAAAAAAAAAAAAAAAAAAAAAAAAAAAAGAGAGAGAACTTGCATGTGCAACATCAACAGAATTTCCTGGGAGAGAGAAATTTATTTTGCTTTTTTCTTTCGTTTTTCCTTTTAATTTTAAGAGGGAAAAAACAAACAAACCATGAGTTCCAATCCTGAAGAAATGGTGAAAGAGCCCCTCCCCACTTCTTGCTACCCCTTTTCCCACCTCCTAATGAGGGTAAATTTATGCATGGGAAGAGGATTGGAGTGTTGCTTTTTTTTTTTTTTTAATTATAATATAATTGGAACATTCTATTCTGCTCTTAGGGCATACTCACACTAGCAGTTTCCTAAATGTATCTGAACGCAATTGCGGCAAGACCTGGATGAATCTAACGCCAATCACGCCCAGAGCTTAATAGAAAAACTCCTACCTTCTTCCCCCGAATACAATGTACGGTCATTATAGCTGTATTTAGACTGAATGATACCTCAAATTCAGCTATAATGACCGTACATTGTATTCTTTTTTATTATTATTATTATAATTGGAACATTCTATTCGGCTCTTAGGCCATACTCACACTAGCAGTTTCCTAAATGTATCTGAACGCAATTGCGGCAAGACCTGGATGAATCTAACACCAATCACGTCCAGAGCTTAATAGAAAAAGTCCTACCGTCTTCCCCCGAATACAATGTACAGTCATTATAGCTGTATTTAGACTGAATGATACCCCAAATTCAGCTATAATGACCGTACGTTGTATTCTTCTTTTTATTACACTAGCAGTTTCCTAAATGTATCTGAACGCAATTGCGGCAAGACCCGGATGAATCTAACGCCGATCACGTCCAGAGCTTAATAGAAAAAGTCCGACCTTCTTCCCCCGAATACAATGTACGGTCATTATAGCTGTATTTAGACCGAATGATACCCCAAATTCAGCTATAATGACCGTACTGCAAGGAACCTGATTGTTCACAGCTTGCTTGAGAGCATCACACCGTATGCATTCATGTCATCACACGTACAAAGTAGTCTCACACAAAACCAGACTGAGATGAGATGAGATGAGATAAGAACCAATAGCGCAGCTTATATTATCAAAGTCATTGAATACAAAGAGTAACGTGAGTTCTAGAGAGCAGCGCCCACAAAAGATAAGTCTCCCTCATTAATCAACAGCATAGGACCTAAACACGCTGGCAGAGTTGCCTAAACAAAGGATTAACAGATGAGAGTCATATACATGTGTTACATTGTAAATTTGGGAAGAAAACATCGTCAGAAGTTGAAGGTTAGGAAAATAATAAATTCAAAAACTTCAAAAGACAGGAAAAGGCTTTGTGCAAAAGCGAAAACGAAAACGAAAACGAAAGCGAAAGCGAAAATGAAAACGAAAACGAAACATCATGTAAAAAGACTTTGCCTAATTAGGAAATGCGTGGCTTACACTTTGCGCACATGTGTACCCAAGTACTACCGCCCTTGCCCAAACTTAGGAGACCCCCAAAAGGAAAGCCGAAATAATCCCATGCCTATCAGTGTACTGAGGAGGTGCTCACTCTGACAATTTTTCAGCTCATTAAACCTCTACTTGAAGAGATCGTACACTCTACAAGAGAGCTAAAAAACATCGGAAACCCCTGCGCGGAAGAACACTCTTCTTTGTCCATGGCTTCTGTAATGGCAGTCGCAGCGATTGGACTGTGGTTGATCCCATAGCACCCGAAAAGAACTATAAATAAAGGCTCATTAAAGAGTAGAATAGCAAATATAAAGCTATAAACTAACTATGTCACACTAGTATCTATATCATCCTACCTGCCGTTTAGGTCGGAATGTCGAAATTAGGCCGAATGTCGAAAATTCCCCTTCTTCGATGGAGCTTCATCTACTGTATATGGCTTCTATGGCTCTTGTCAACTTTTATCTTCGGGGTTGACAAGTCATGGCGAGAAAACGTAGACTCAAGCTGAGATAACTTGGAAAATTGCACAAGGAGTACATCCCTATAGAGCTTGCCACTCCTACCAAAGCTATGGACTCGATACGATCATTTATGTGCCGACTACATGCATCCCTTAATGCAGTATCAGCATGAGACCACACCCTTCATAGCATATGCATACATTGTGGGATTTCCTCACTCTTCACAGTATTCACTCACCCACCCACAGCGCCCCTCCGACCCCCCCACAAACACCCCCCCACCCCC